GTTATTGACATAAGTTCATTAAGAATCCATTCTCCTTGTAACAGGACACAATTGGAAACTTTTGTTATAATACTAAGCTTTAACTAAATGTTATATTTGAGAGATATATAAACAAATTAAGATACAATCAGATAGCTTTAAGGAACTAAAGTTGACTCTATGGAGCCAATAAAGCCCATTGGAAAAATCAGCCTGGTACCTTGCTTATAGGGTTCCCAGCAGCAGGTAAGAAAGGTTGCTTCCTGGGCAGGCAAAGGAACCTCAGGATATTTTGGGGATCTTGAGAAAAGAGGAATTCACCCAAATCTGTAGGTATTGCAGGCAAAGTCTGATGGTGAGTGCTTGGTGTGGCTTCTTAGCCTCAAGAGGCTTTTAAAAATTGAATCTTAGGTTCCTTATGAAAAGTTCCAGCTAAGCAGCTTATATGGTCAATCACTACCTTGATGTACATATATAAATAATCAAGCCAACTTTACTGAAATAAGATTTAGTTTGCAGATGAGTCTTGCTATGGTTATCTTTGATAAAAATGAGCAAAACTGTAGAGGAAAAATTATGTTTCAGCAATATACCTTTTTGGGTACAAAATTCTAGTGCTATTAATTGTCTTTGAGATTTTGTTTTCTCATAAACTGGACTAGATCCTGCATTCTTCTAATTTACTCTAAAATTCATCTGTAACTCCTCAAACTAACATTTCCAATTTTCTCCCACCCTTTTGACTTGGAATCATTGAGAACTAAAACTGTCCTTTTCCTGAAGCCATGCAAACTAATGCTGGACAACTTGATAAAAACTTCAGAGAAATCACCATAACCATTCATGTATAGACGATTTTCATGCCTGCTGCTATGCAGGCCATTAAGAAAGACCACCAGAGACATTCAAACTGCAAATCAAGAAAATGTATCGGATTGTTATTATCTGCCCTCACTCTATCCAAAGATGCTTCAAGCTGGACATCTAGAAATCTTGACCATCAGTCTTCAGAATTCAGAAACTGGGATTCTAATCTGCTCCAATTTTAATCTTCATACCCCCGCCCATAGAAATGCCTCCTATTATTTGATTATTTGCACCACAGGCTTAACTTTGGGAGCCCACCAGCATCACCGTCTCCTGAAATGAGACACAACTGTTTAACTGCACTAGCCAACTCTCAGGCCTGAGACCCTGGTTCATTGAGCTGGAGCTTAACTTGTAGACTGTGAAACTTCTTGGGGAAGTTTCAAATGTGTGAGGAAAGGGGTTCAGAATAAATCCCCCAGATATGCTACTTTGACACAGGGACTATTTTCAGCTGAAGGCACTCAAGACCCAGCAGACTCAAGAAAAACTTTACCTCTCCTTAAACTACCTTAAAGAATTTAGATAGAAGGCTTGGCTCAGAAAAAGAGCTTTTACCAAGGATAACATTTTTCCTGTGTGGCAGAATAAATATCTAATTACCAAATATCTGCTCTTCTTACTGTCCAGTGACTCACCCTCCTCCTCTTTGAAGCCCTAGACCCCTATCCTATTCCTTAGCTCAAGACGGCATATGAGCCTCAATCACCAGGTTCATCCTTGAGTATGTCTTATGGGCTCCCATATGTATATAATTAACTTTGTTTTTCTCTTGTTAATGTTTTATGCTAATTTGATGATTAGAAACAGCCAAAGAATCCAGAAGGATTGAAGGAAAACTTTTTCCTTCCCAACCATCTCAGGAGATACCGTGCCTTTAGTACAAATAATCAGTTTCATTGACAGAACTTCAGAAATCGGGACCATTGTGGGGTATTTCTAGAGGAGGTTTCATGTGTTTGTAAATTACACTATGTAAAGAGAAAGGGTGCTTTGTTGCTTAATTTTCTGTTACTACAATTTCTTCTACCTCCCACAGCTTACTGTCTTTACTGGTAAAAATTTTCACTATGTATATAAGGACTTTTTTTTTAGTCCATGAATTTTAATCCTTTCAGACAGCTCCGTCTCATAGAACTTTGATGATATGTTTGCTCTGTGATACATTAGCCACTAGCTACATATGGCTATTGAGCCTTTGAAATGTGGCTAGTACAACTGAGGAACTGAACTGAGGAACTCACTTCATGACACTTGTTGAAAATGACGACTTAGGAAGACTTTATTCACAGTGAGGGGGATCTATTGTAATAGAACCAGGGGCCACTGCAATGAGTTTTGCAGTGGTCGAGAGATTGAACTCAACTTTTTTTTCCTTCTTAATTTTTATTTAAATTCTAGTTAATATATAGTGTAATATTGGTTCCAGGAGAATTTAGTGATTCATTACTTACATATATATAGCACCCAGTGCTCATAACAAGGGCCCTCCTTAATACCTATCACCCATTTAGCCTATCCCCCACCCACCTCTCTCCATCAACCCTGTTTGTTCTCTGTTGTTAAGAGTCTCTTATGGGTTCCCTCCCCTTTTCTTTTTCCCTTCCCACGACATCATCTGTTTTGTTTCCTAAATTCCACATATGCATGAAATCATATTTGTCTTTCTCAGACTTACTTCACTTAGCATAACACACTCTAGCTCTATCCATGTTGCTGCAAATGGCAAGATTTCATTCTTTTTGATGGCTGAGTAATATTCCACTGCATATGTAACTATATATATATATATATTTCACATCTTCTTTAACCATTCATCACTTAGATTGAGGTCAATTTTGAATACAGACAGGGCTAATGGGAATTTATAGCCAGGGTGCAAGGTGAAGGGTCAGTGGGTAGAAAATTACTAAGAGGTATTACAAAACAAAATTCAATTGAGTAAACTTCAAAGATAATATTGGCTTTATTCAATGATTCATGATCTGGGCATCATCAAATCTAGCAGATATAAATGATCTGTGGAGCTGTACAAATTGAAAGACTTACAGGCAAAAGGGGGCAGGAACAAGTTACTTATACTAGGCAAAAAGGAGATTGGTTATTGCAAGATTACTTTCCTTCAGAGGATGGTAGGCGTCTATCAACAGATTACCTAACTAGGGCTGATCAGGTGACTCCTAATTGACTCATTTAAGATCCCATTTCTGGGAGAGTTGAAACAGTAATTAATTGCAGGTCTGGTAACAGGGGGCTTAGCAAGCAACTCCATTTTAGGAGTGTTGTCTTGTTTTTAACACAAAAAACATCAGGGGCATTCTGACTAAACTGATCTAATAGGATTCTTGCTGTAGGCAGGCCAGGGTGATCAGATAGCACCTGGGGGATAGTGGAAGATGAGGAACCTGATTAAGTATTGAAAGTGATCAGATATTGAGAATGGTGGATTCTGGATAAACTGACTTAGTAAGATTCTTGCTAAAATTAGACAATGCAGAGAAATAGAGAAGTCCAAAAATTAATGCCGAGTTGAAAAAGTGCTCAGAGGAACCTGAGTAGAATTTGTTCAAGGAGTGAATCTTTGTCATTTCTTCTAATTTCAATTAAAATTTAAACATCCAGGTACCTGGGTGGCTCAGTCAGCTAAACCTCTGACTCTGGATTTCGGCTCAGGTATGATCTCAGGGTCTTGGGATCAAGCCCCTAGTTGGACTCTGTGCTGAGCAGGGTTTTCTGGAAATTCCCCCCCTCCCCCCCAATAAATAGGGGCCTTTGCCTTCAGCTCAGGTCATGATCCCAGGCTCCTGGGTATACATCCCGCATTGGGCTCCCTGCTCAGCAGGGACTCTCTTTCTCCCTCTGCCGCTCCCCCTACTCACACTGTCTCTCTCTCAAATGAATAAATAAGGTCTTTGGAAAAAATAATAAATAAATATCTAAAAAGAAAAAAATTAAATGTCAATATTGGGTAGCACCGGTAAAATTTTTCTAACCCTTCTCATTTTTTTTTTAAGATTTTATTTATTTATTGGACAGACAGAGATCACAAGTAGGCAGAGAAGCAGGCAGAGAGAGAGGAGGAAGCAGGCTCCCTGCTGAGCAGAGAGCCCGATGCGGGGCTCGATCCCACGACCCTGGGATCATGACCTGAGCTGAAGGCAGAGGCTTTAAACCTCTGAGCCACCCAGGTGCCCCTCATTTTTGTTTTTTAAGATTTTATTTATTTGACAGACAGAGATTACAAGTAGGCAGAGAGGCAGTCAGAGAGAGGAGGAAGCAGGCTCCCTGCTGAGCAGAGAGCCCGATATGAGGCTCGATCCCAGGACCCTGGGATCATGACCTGAACCGAAGGCAGAGGCTTTAACCCACTGAGCCACCCAGGCACCCCACCCTTCTCATTTCTTAGGAAGATGACATAATAAGATACTATAAGCATATGGTTTACCAACAATGAGTTCTCTTAGTCTGAAGAGGGATGATTTACATACCCAGCATGTTTGTGCTGTAAAAGATTATTTGTTCTTTTAGGTAACATTAATTTTTAAGTTGTGTGACATCTACTTAACAGCATGTATTCTCCGAAACTCCAAGAGAGGCTGCCTCTCCTTTTGCTATAGTGGCTTATTTGGCACAAAACCCTCAGGCATACACGAGCTGGCATCAGGTCTGGTTTATATTCTCCGAGGGAGCTGAGAAATTTGTTTCAAAATTGGACGCAGGTCTCTAAACTGACCTAGATGACGTGTAAAATAAAACGAAAATACTGCATTTAAAAAAACTAAGACTAAAGGGAAAAAGAGAAATGGGACAGCAAGAAGGAAAGTCTTCCCAAGGGACTTTCTTGGTCCGTTCCATTTCTGGGAAACTCAAGGTACTGTACCACCTCCTCAGGGCGAGTCCACTCACGTCCAAGGAGCCGACCGCCCAGTGCCCCACTTCCCCCAACTGCAGCCTCTGGGTGGTCCCCTTAGCCCCGCCCTCTCCCCACCTGGGCGCCCTCTGGAGCACGCCTCCTCCAAACGTCCCGCCCCGCCGCCGTCCGACTTCAGGCGCCGCGAATCGGCGCGCTGACGTCCGACGCTCCAGGTACTTTCCCCGCGGCCGGCCGGGCCCGGCGTGGGGGCGGGGCAGGGCGCGGAGCGCGCATGCGCCGCAGCGCCAGCGCTCTCCCCGGATTGTGCGGGGCCCGAACCTCTCCGCCGGCGCAGGCTCCGCTCGCGCCAGCTCGCTCCCGCCGCCATGTCTGCCACCGTCGAGCGGGAGTTTGAGGAGTTGGATGCTCAGAATCGCTGGCAGCAGCTGTATTTGGTGAGTCGCGGGCTCGCGCACTAGCCACAGTCTTCACCGAGGACCCGGGCTCGCGCCCACCGGCTCCCTCCCGCCTCCCCCGCCTCCTGCTCGGGGCGGAAGTGGCGGCGCGCGGGCCGCGTCAGGGGCGCGCCTGCGCCGACCGGGTCTCTGGGCCCTTCTGAAAAAAGACTTTGGGCGGGCGGGGGTGCTCCTCAGGAGCGCAAGCGCAGAGTTAGTTCTGGAAGGCGGCTCCACAGCGGCGCCTGGTGGCGGGCGAGGACGTACTCCGCCACCCTGGGGGGACCTGGGAGGTCGGGGGGTGGGGGGTACCCGGGAGACCCGCAGGCGGTCCGAGAGTCCGCGGGGGGCCGAGAGAAGGGAAGTGAGGCCTCAGGGGACGCGGGCGGGCGGTGGGGAGCCGGCTGCAGGCTTGTGGGAGTTCGCAAGCCCTGGTGGCTGACTCTGCCCGCGGATACCTTTTTCGTTGGCCAGGTGTTCTGTGGCTGAGCGGAGGCCAGCCGGCTCTGGCCTTGGTGTTCTGGGTGGCTTTTGGGCATCTCGAAATGGCAGTGCCTAAACCGTGGGGACGGTGGAAGCTCCCGGCGAGTTAGCAGTCTTAATGTTTTCAGAGAGCCCAGAGTCTCAGCGCGTGGGTCGTCCTCCACAAACAGCTTCCAGGAACGAGAATATCTGGCTTTGGTTGTTAGTTAAAAGAAAGAAAAAGGGTGTTCTCTTTTAAATCTTCTTTACCGAGGAATACTTTACAGTAAGAGAGACAGATTTTATGTGTGGAGTTAAGCGAGTTTTCTAAATGTGTACACCTGTGTAGGCACCAACCAGGTCAAAATAATGAACCTTTTCATTACCCCGAAGGTGCCGTCATGCCCCTTCTTCCATCCCATAGACCAGACCACCGCTGTTCTGATTTCTTACTGCTGTGCAATAATCTTGCCTTTTCTCGAACTCAGTATGAGTGGAATCCTGAGTGTAGTTGGATTCTTTTGTAACTAGTTTCTTCACATCAGCTAGAGAACCTTTGAATTCATACAGAACTGTATCTCTTTGAAAATGATTTAGTTGTCTGTACTGTACTGCTTAATTATTAGCATGTTATTCCCAAGATTAAATTGAGTGGTTGGTGAGTTAAATGTTGCTTCGGCTGTTCGGTTCACTATGCAGAAAAAGGGGAAAAAAAAGAAAGGTTTTTCCTGTAAATCTGGATGATTCTGGGTTTCTCCCCCATTTAAATTCATTTAGTTCAAGGACAGTAAAAATTGCTTCTTTGTCATTATGATCAGAATGTAACTTTTTTTTCTTGAACACATTAGCAGGAAGTGTAATAAATACCCTGATTCACTTGAGTACAGAGTATATTAGAACAGAGTACTAACTTTTGAGAACGCTGGTAATGGCTTTACTAATTATAGAAAATTTTAAATGCAAATTCTGGTAGGAATCTTTATGTGAGAGCCTGCCGACTTCTCCTGTTACATTTGTTTAAATACAAGCTACTGTCTCCAAGTTGCTACTGATAAATCAAAATTCAGATTTGAGAAGAGAAAGGTGAATGCTACAGCTTAATTCAGCTTAACATTTTGGTTAAGCAGTTTGATTTTAGGGTGGTGGGGATAGCATTAATATATTTGAAAATTTAATGAAAACTAATTCCCTCTCACCATAAAAATGGACCTTTCTTATATCCACTGAAAATGTCACATTAAATTTCAAGGAATTCAGGAAACCCTTCCATGAACTGGTTGGTGCCAAGGAATCCTTTAGTGGTTTAGTCAATGCTTTTATTATTTTTTTCATAACAGAAGAAGAAGGGCATTCGTTTGGTCAGTAGAAATCACGTAAAACATACTGGTGTTATGATAATAGTGGGTCACAAACCAAGAAAGTTAGTAATGGAAAGCAAGTGTAGAAAAAGGTTTTCCTTTGACTCTAGAATGTACATTCAGCCTTACTACAAATAAGTACTGAGCACCAGTGGTGTACCAGTCTTGCTCTGGGCCGTTGAGATTCGGCAGAGAATGAAGCAAAGTTTCTTCTCTTGGGGAGCTCACAATTCTAGGATTTGTTCTTTTGATGGCCTCATCACAATTCGCTATTTTCGTTCATCCACTCCTAACACATCTATTATGTATCAGTGTTAGACTGAGTCCCAGCTCTCAAGGATCTAGCCCACTGGGTGTAGTAAATGGGTAAGAAGATGAAAACATAAAAGTAAGAAATGCAAAAGCTAGTTTTAAGCACAGGGTGTTGTCTAATCACCCAAAAGGGTGCACCTGGAAATTCTGGTAGTGATTCTGCAGGAGGTGTGGCCTTACCTAAGTCTTGAAGGACAAGTTGGCTAGGTGAAGAGAATAAGGGAAGAAGAATTATTGTTCCAGAGAAGGAAGGAATGTGTGCAGAGGTACAGAGCGTAGAACTGAAGGAATGTGTGCAGAGGTACAGAGCGTAGAACAAGAGGACTACCAAGAAATTAGCCTCGTGAGGAGTATGGAATGAAGTTGAGGTGCTGGAGGGATAAGGCTGGAGAGTAAGACAGAGGCTATTAGGTGCCTGTAGATCAGACTATGGAATTGGAGCTAGTTGATAGGACTCATTGAGGAATTTTAAGCCTGGAAGTACCGTGCAAGATCATACTATATATTTTTAAAATTTTTTATTTTATTATTTCTTAAAGGTTTTAATTATTTTTTGTCAGAGAGCGTGCGAGTGAGCGAGAGCACAAGCAGGGGGAGCATCAGGCAGAGGGAGAAGCAGGCTTCCCGCTGAGCAAGGAGCCCAGTGTGGGACTCAGTCCTAGGACCCTGGGATCATGACCTGAGCCAAAGGCAGATGCTTAACCGACTGAGCCACCCAGGCATCCCTTTACTATATTTACTTTTTAGTAAGATTGTTCTACTGGTGTGAATGATGGGGCTCTCTGTAGGCAGGTAGTACAGGGAAGTATTCTGTTGGAATAAACCAGAAGAGAAGTGTTGACCTCCTGAACTAAGGCAGTGGCAGGAGGAATGAAGGGGAGATACTGATTTGAAGTGGTAAGGGGATAAGATGTGTTTGGTTTTGAAACTGTTAAGTTTGAGATGCCTGTAAGACGTCAAAATGGAAATAGTTTAATATATAAATACAGACTTCAGGGAGGTCTGAGCTGTAAATAGGATTTTTGGAAATCATGAGCGCATAGGTGGTATTTGTGGATGAGGTCATCTAGGGAAAATATGGAGGGTTTGGAAATGCTGAAGGCCAACAACAATTAAGTAGGGGAAATATGGAGGGTTTGGAAATGCTGAAGGCCAACAACAATTAAGGGTGTAGATAAAGAAAGAAGCTTGCAAAAAAGACTAGAAAGGAATAATCATGGAAGTGGGAGAAAATTGATTGTGGGTGTGAAAGGAGTTGATGGTGAGGAGGGCCACATGCAGCAGATGGGAAAATAAAGTCAAAACTGAAAGGGCCCATTGACTTAAGGGGTGGATGTCCACACCCTTATTTTTTATTATTTGGTGTTGTTTTGTTTTGTGTGAGTTGTTTTTGTTTTGCTTTGTTTTTAGAGGTGGGAGAAAGAGAGGGTGGGAGGGAGAGGGGGATAGAGAGAGAATCTTAAGCAGGCTCCATGCCCACCCTGGGTGAGCTTGATCTCACAACCCTGAAATCTTGACCTGAACCAAGATCAGGAGTTGATGCCTAACCCACCTGAGCTACCCAGGTACCCCCAGATACCTTTAAAGATAACAATTTCAGTGGAGTACGAAAGATGCTGAGCATGGAGAAGAGAAGGTGGGAAGAAGTACAACCACGTAAATGGAGACTACCATTTAGCTACCTACTATTTACATTTACCATGTAAATGGTAGGTAGCTAAAGTGACACACAGTTATGTCCCTTCTTACTGAAAACCTTCAGTGGTTTTTTTCACTGCTCATAATGTAAAATTCAGATCCTTCTGTGGCTCACAAGACCACATGGTCTTCCTCCCCATATGACTTTCTTCCCTCTTCGTTGGGCTCTATTCCTTGAAATGTATGTGTCTGTTCTTCCCTGAGGGTCTTCATAATTGTAGCTCTCTTTGCTTTAGCACAACTTCTCCCCCTATTTTCCCCATTAACTACCTCCTACTCATTCCTGAAGTCTCACTTCCTTAGTGAGGGGCCTTCCTGCCCCTCCCCTGCAGGATATGATCCCCTGTTACATACTCCATAGTGTTCCACGACTTCCCCTTTCATAGCATTGCGTTGGTTGTAATGTGCAGCAGATTATTTAGAGAACACAAATTTGCATTAAGCAAACCACTGTTATTTGAGTAGGGGAAAAGTGCTTAAGTGAGCTCTCTGCTTTGTCTGTCACAAGACTGGGTGATATCTGTGAATTTTTTTGGCCATGCTAATTGGATTAGGAAAAGAAAGGCTTTGCTCTTGGGCAAAAGCTAGATATAACTAGAAGTTGGACTTGCTTAGTGGTGTGAGAACTTTTGCTTTACACCTTATTGAAAGTCTTGCAGGAAAGGAAAAAATGAATTGATTATTTTGAGTGTGAAACTCTTTGGCCTCTTACTCCGTTTTACCCAGTTTTGAACAGTTGCTTTTATAACATAGCTTTTGGTAATAGGAGGTTTCTTAGGAATGAGTTACGGGGTCAGAGCAGAACAGACTATAAATTTCTCTTCTGCATTGTCTCATTAGAACTTCATGCAGGCAGTGCCAGTGCCTTGCACAACATCGGGCACTTAGTAGGTGCATGATAAATCTTTGTTGAATAATGACCTCTTACCAGAGAAGCCTGACTTGATGTGTTTTGGGAGAGGGGGAGGATAAGCCTAAAGAGAGAGGTTAGAAGTTGAAGAAATAGAAGGGATTACTGTTGGTGCCAGAAACCTTGAAAAGCAGGTGCTGATGGGAGCAAGAGCACATAGATGGAAGAACTGGCCTTGAAAGAGCACAACTGGCTGAAGTGAGATTGCTGGAAAAGTCTAATTTGGTTTGACTGACAAACTAATGAAACATTAATGTAGT